GAAAAGTAGAGAGTATTGAGAAAATTGTCTGCCATTGAGGCAGGGTGAAGACTGGCATGGGGTGGGGGTGGGGTTACCGGGGACATTGGTGGTGGAAAAGGTGCACTGGTGGAGGGATAGGTGTTCGATCATTATATGGCTGAATCTCAAACATGAAAGCTTTGTAACTGTATCTCACAGTGATTCAATTAAATTAAAAAAAAATAAGTCATCAGAATCTAGGCAATGCAATGGTCATGATCAGGTTCTCTCTCTTACCCTCTTCAGAAGGAACTGACCTTGTCAATATTTTGAGTTTAGAACTCTGACCTTCAAGTCGTAAGATAATAAAATCTCTTTTGGTTAAGTCACTCTGTTTGTGGTATTTGTGGTATTAGTTTTAATAGCACCACTAGAAATCTGATGTAGTTCTTGAATTGGGAAGTAAATACATGCATAGGCATTTATTTTTTAATTAACAAGTCACAAAGTATTACATGCATAACTTGTTATGTATCAAATATCTGCATAGTAAAGCATAAAATTCAAAAGAGGTTAATATTTTTTTTATTACTCCTGACCTAGGGCACCCTTCCAAGATTCATCTTGAAGATAAGACAAATTCCAGAAAGACTTTTCTAGACAGTTTTATTAAAACTATAAAATTCAACTTTCAACACTCCTATTCTTTTCCTTTCCCAGCAGTGTTCAGGGCTTATGTTGGCTCTGTGCTCACTCATGGTGGTGCTTTGGGGCTCCTTATGTAGTGCTGGGGATTGGATTCAGGTTTGTCATGTGCAAGGTGAGTGCCTTAACCCCTGTATCATCTCTCTGGCCCCAACTTCCTTTTGTTTCAGCAAAGTTTTAAATTTTTACCTCAGTCACTGAGTTTCTGTTCCTTGGACTTTGATTGTGGTATGCACATAATCTAAGCAGTGTCCTGCATGTAATCTTGAATGAAGGTGATTGACAAGATCACCTCTGTTGGGGTACATTACAGATTGATATCAACTTTGTTCTGATTTAACCCAAAGGGAATCCTTGACATCTAAGCTCAAAACAATGCTTTAGTAATGCACACTGAAAAATAATTGCCTCCCTGTAGCCTATAAATCATACCAGAGTAAGGTCATATATTCTTATTTCACACAGCTATACCTAAAACAGTGCATGGAATAAAGGTACTTAAGAGGTGTTAGATGAATGAACAGGTAAATAGTTTTATGAGTGTCTATATACAGAAGCAACAATATTAGCTTTCATTTTTAAGGAAGGTTTATTATGCATCTCCACCTCCACTAACTTTAGGGGGCCTCCTGAGCAGTGCTTCAGAGGCCAAGGGTCTACTACAGATGATTTTGGCCATTAGATCAGGCAGCCCATCGACTTTTAATTTTTCTGATTCCATGTGCCTAGTTAGTTTTCTAATTCATCAGATTTTTTTATATAAGCAGTCGAAGGCTCCTTTTGGAAAATTAAAATATGAGGTCTGATTGGGATCCCTAAAGTTAGAGACACATGCATACATGTTTAAAAGTAAAAATAAACATAAAGGACTACAGCAAACTATAAATCTCTTTAGCAAAGAAAATAATGAATTAAATGAAAAAGTAAGATCCAAATGAAAGAAAATGTTTGCAAATTATATAAGGGGTAATATCTAAATATTTATAAATAACTTAATAAGAAATAGTATACAGTACAGTAGGAAAATTATATGCTGAATACCTAAATAGACATTAATTCAAATAAAACATATAGATGATTGATGGATAAATGAAAAGATGCTTAGTGTATAAATGACCAGAGAAATAAAAATTAAAACCATAAGATATACCTCAGATCCGTTCAAATGACATTTCAATAAAAACCAAGAAATAACCACTGTTGGAAGAATGTGGAGAGAAAGAAACCCATTCACACTGTTGTTGGAAATAAAACTTGATGCAAGCACAATGAAAAAATGGAATGAAAAGTTTTAAAAGTAGAACTGCTGCACTGTGCTTGGAACCTAACGACGTGAATGTTAGCTAATTCTACTTCTGGGTATTTGTTTGAAGAACCTACAAAAAACCTCATTAAAGTATATATACATTATCATCTTCATTTTAGCAGTACTTACAGAGCCATGATATAAAAATAATATTGTCTATAAATTGATAGATTGATAAAGAAAGTATACGAAAATTGTAGAATGGGATATCATTATGGTCAAATAATTTCCTATTTAGAAAATATCATTGCAATAATTTGGACAGATCTTGAGGACATTATGATAAGAAAAATAAGTTAGAAAAAGGGAAATGCTATATGATCTCATTTCTGTGTGGCATCTAAATGAAATAAGTCAAATATCCGAGTTAACAGAAACAGAACACAATGGTGACTGCAAGGGAAAGGGGTGGGAAAATAGATGAAGAAGGTCAAAAGGCATAATTTCACTTACAAAATATATGTCATGGAAATATAATATACAACATACCAACTGTAGTTAACAGCACTATATTGTATATTTGAAATTTGCCAAGAAAGATCTTAAATATAAACTATTACATTGTATACTTGAAGCTAATATAATGTTGGAGTGATAGCACAGCTGTAAGGCGTTTGCCTTGCATGCAGCCAGCCTGGCCCAGCCGGGTTCGATTCCTCCGCCCTCTCGGACAGCCCAGCAAGCTACCGAGAGTATGTCACCCGCATGGCAAAGCCTGGCAAGCTACCATGGCGTATTCAATATGCCAAACACAGTAACAACAAGTCTCAAAATGGAGACGTTACTGGGCCCGCTGGAGCAAATCCATGAACAACAAGAGGAAAGTATTTGTTTTGATAATTGGAAAGATAACTCTAGACAAGAACTGAGTGTTGAAAAAAGGAAAGTGATATACACAACTTTTCAATGACAGTATTGCTACCTGCAGTGCCTGAAAGGGCAGAAAGTGTGTGTGTGTGTGGGGGGGGGGGAGAGAGAGAGAGAGAGAGGGAGAGAGAGAGAGAGAGAGAGAGAGAGAGAGAGAGAGAGAGAGAGACAAAATTGCAAAATTGTCTGCCATTGAGGCAGACTGGGAGGAGGAGATTGGGAGATAGGGAGGGAGGAGGGAAACTGAGAACACTAGTGACAGGAAACATACACTGGTGAAGGGATAGTTGGAGCATTGTATCACTGAAAGTCAATCATAAACAACTTTGTAACTGTGTATCTCACAGTGATTCAATTAAAACAATGGGACATAAAAATATAATGTTGTACATCAATCATGACTTTATGAAGAGGTTTATTACTACATGCAAATTAGTCACTTGTTCCATTAATTAATTCATTTTTCCTTCCAAGAAGAAAATATATAGGTGTTTTAGTATCTCTTATTAATACTCTGGTGAAATCATTCTTCACTATAAAATGGATTCTAAAAACTGAACTCCGATTATATATGCAAAATAATTAAAAATGGGATCTGTCTAGTATTTATGAAAAGCAAGTTAATATTATTTTGAATGTAGTAAATAATGAATGTTACAATCCAACATTCATTAATGAGATATTTTTCCCCCTTTTTTTATTCAGTAGATAGAGCAGTTGGTCTTAGTCAAGTGTATCAATAAGAGATGAAGAGTTTTCAAGATCTAAAATATAATACTGAAAGAATTGATTATAGCACTTATAAATGCAAACATTTGATTAGTGAATATGCACAAGCCTCGGTGAGAATGGAGAGACAAGATCTCTGCAGGAATTGCTATATTGGAAAGATAGAAGTAAGCAGATAAATGATTAAGATCAAATGCTATTAATCATTAAAGGGAAAAAAATTGTTCTCTATGTCATTCCCGTAGACAGGGTAATTTATTACAGGGTTATTCTTTGAATACTGGCCAGCCAGACACAGTATGTTTCTACTAATCAGAATGTTTGATGAACCAACATGTTTAATTCCTTGACCATACTGTTTATGTTATGAGTACCCTATTAAAATATCATTTCATGAATTTTTACCCATCTACCACAGGGGGGACCTACAATCACTTTTCTATAGTTAATGACTAATTTGTTTTATCTTGCTTTTGCACTTTATGATCCTTTTCAATTTCCAGGAACTGTGACTCCTGATTTTAGAATGGAGAAAGGAGTGTTTATTTCCACACGACACTGCTTTTTCACATAGGTAATAGAAACATTTTATTTAAAAAAAAATGGAGTAAACGTAAGCAACCGATTTCCATGTATTTAGCTAGAAAGACAAGACCCAGCTGATAGTTATGGCTAAAATGAATAGCAGCAGAAAAACAGAAAACAGTTACATAGAAGAATGACACATATAATACTATGTATAAACAAATTTGCTTTATGGACGTTTACTTAGTTGTTCATAAAATGAACTCCACAAAATTTATTAGATGCTCAGTTTACTTCATTAAACATATTGCTATTAATTTCTCTCACCAAACTGCTCCTTTATCTGCAGGTGTCCTTCAAGAGAGCATTATGTGCTTCCCTCTGAAAAGCTAAGAACAGTCTGTCCAGTCCTTCAAGTGACAAAGAACCCTATAAAGCATTGACTACAGGTGGCTGGAATACCGACCTACCTCTGTGACACAGGCCGTGAAGGTCTTTCTTTAAATAAACCTTCTCTTTTAAGTGGTTTCAATATTCCCCGTGAGCTGGATCTAGAATGAATTCAATCTGCAAACTACAATCCGCTTTTTCTACACGCCCTAGCTACAATTGTGTGAAGGCAGACACAGTCGAAACTCCTGTGCGGCAGCCTCAGGAAGGTGCTTTAACTTGCAAATGAGTTGAACACACAACTTCCCCATAAGTGGTCCCTAAGTGGTCCCCCTTAGCAGAAGGGGCAGCAGCTCTGATGCAGATGGGTTATGCAGAGCCCGCAAGCTCCGCGCCCTTGTCCTACCCTGGACTCATGGAAAAGGGGGCGGAGAGGAGGAGAAAGGGGCGGAGGTCACCCTCAGCCTCCAGCCCGCCCTGTCTGCGGCAGCTGTAGGCTGCCTAGGAGCGGGGGAGTCGGAGCACATCCTGCGGGTCCGGAGCTTGGAGAGGGCGCGGAGCACCAAGCGCAGAGACTCCCATCCCGGCGAGTCCGGTCCTGCGCCCGGCACGCGGCGCTCCTGAAACCCGTGGCCGCGGCAGAGCTGAGCCGGGAGCGCAATGTGGCACCGAACGTGGGCTCGCACTGCGGCCGGGATGAGACCCCTCTCTGCTGCCGGGAACGCCAAGGTAAAACTGCCTCTCTGGCCGCTGTGTTTCCCCCACTTCAGCCTTGTCGTCCCACTTTGCGCAGCCAAGCGCTTGGTCCGTACTTTATTTAGCCTGCGCTTGGCAAGTTTAGATCAGGTGCCTGCATCTGGGAAGACCAGCAGAGAAAGGGACGCGGTTGACTCGTTCAGATCTTAGCCTGGCTCTTGGGGACCGGGAAGAAAGGATCTGAGAGGCTCACCCACAAAAGGATCACCCTACTTCCAACCCCCCCATTCCTCCGTTTTCTTTCTCACCGGGTGTTTCCCTGCCGGCCGCAGCTGAGCCAAGCACAGACCTTTGGCGCCCCCAGGGGTGCAAGGGAATCCAGCCCGTGGACGTTTGTGTAACAGCAAAAAGTTTCAGCAAGTTGGGAGGTTTGGGGAGAGGATGTTGCAAGCCCAGGCGCTGTGGTGGAGTAGAGAGCAGCCTAAGTCCAATGAGAGTCGTGTTGGGTAAGACCTGGCGAGAGGCGGCGCCCTCGGGAGCCCAGGCGTTCCCCTCTGGGACGGGTCCCAGAAAAAAAAAAAAAAAGGCTGGCTCCAGAATTTCCAGCTTTCCGGAAAATTGCTCGGGGGAACGCCAAGCGAAATAGCTTGGGGCTGGGTGGCTGTGGTGGCTATCGAGTGGCTGTGACTCAGGGCTTAACCTACTATGAATGAGAGACAAACAAGTGCTTTACCTTTAGTATTGCTACCCTGGAGGTGTCAAAACCCGCAGCAGATCCGACAGGCACTGCATGGGGAGAGCTGCCTGGCCCACTGCCCACCACCTGCCGGGATTCCTGCCAGGAGCCAGAAATGCTGGCAGCATGGTAGCTGAACCAGAAACTTGCTTAGAGACCCACCACTCTGTCTTTTCCGGGCACTACTGATGGATGTAGGTTTGCTGTGACTATCCCCCATGCAATTCTTCAGGGAAGCTCCATATAGCGACAGGGAAACTGCTGGTTCATTTTATCCCTTCCCAAAGTTTGAAGACAATTGTTAGTTGTTTTGTATGTTTGACAGACATGTAGTTCATCTATTAAAAGATCTGTAGTGCATGTGTGTGTGTGTGTGTGTGTGTGTCTGTCTGTGTGTGATGTTCATCTTTCCCCTTCCCCTGAAAAGACCCTTGTAAAGTTATCTAGTTATTTAAATAAAACTTAGGCTTTAGAAAACTTTATTGGGTCTAAGTCATGTTGTAATGATTTGGTTACAATGTACCAGTGGCCAGTGAAATGTCAGGAGATTTGAGAGGTGATGGTTTGCAGAGGAGCAACAGGTTCAACAGGGATCCCCAAATCAGTAGCTTCTTCATCTTAATAGTAAACAAAGGAACCACAGGCAGATGCATGCTGCTGTCTTCAGTGTGAGTCAATCTTTCTTATGATGGGCCAGATGATTCTGATTCTCAGTGCAGGTGCTTCAATGTTACATGTCAGCTGAGCTGTTCCACGTGCTCATAACCCCTCTTTCTTTATGACACAGATGTCGGGACCGCAAGCCTGCACTGTTCTGAGAGGAAGATGACTTGAGTGACTGGCTTTTACCTCCACAACAATGTCCATGAACAGTTCCAAACAGCCAGTGTCTCCTGCAGCTGGGCTCCTTTCGAATACAACTTGCCAAACTGAAAACCGGCTTTCAGTATGTTTTTCAATAATCTTTATGACAGTGGGAATCGTATCAAACAGTCTTGCCATTGCTATTCTTGTGAAGGCATATCAGAGATTTAGACAGAAATCCAAGGCATCGTTTCTGCTTTTGGCTAGTGGTCTAGTAATCACTGACTTCTTTGGCCACCTCGTCAATGGAACTATAGCAGTATATGTCTATGCTTCTGATAAAGACTGGATCCGTTTTGACCAATCAAACATCCTTTGCAGTATTTTCGGTATTTGCATGGTATTCTCTGGTCTATGCCCACTTTTACTTGGCAGTGTAATGGCCATTGAGCGTTGCATTGGAGTTACCAAACCAATCTTTCATTCTACAAAAATAACATCTAAACATGTAAAAATGGTGTTGAGTGGCGTGTGCTTATTTGCTATTTTCATAGCTCTGCTTCCCATCCTTGGGCATCAAGACTATAAAATCCAAGCATCGAGGACCTGGTGTTTCTACGAAACTGAGCATATCAAAGACTGGGAAGATAGATTTTATCTTCTACTTTTTTCCTTTCTGGGGCTCTTAGCCCTTGCTGTCTCATTTTTGTGCAATGCTGTCACAGGAATTACACTCTTAAGAGTTAAATTTAAAAGTCAACAGCACAGACAAGGCAGGTCTCATCATTTGGAAATGGTCATCCAGCTCCTGGCTATAATGTGTGTTTCCTGCATTTGCTGGAGTCCGTTTCTGGTAAGAGTCTAATGGTTAGACAATTTCTGATATCTTTTACTTTTCAGTATTCAAGGAAAGGTTTGTATTTTTTTTTCAGTTGTTAGTCATTGGAAACACAGATCATTCATTTAAATGCTGGAGTTTTCTCCCACTTAAAACTCATTTCAACAGTCAGTCTTTGTTCAGAATTCAGGTACTTATGTCTCTATTGCCTCATCAGTACTGAGTTAAAAAGCAATGACTTCCTAAACACTTCTAACACCATAGAAGTGCTTGCAATGGAGTACAGAGAGATATTAACAGAAATAGTATTTTAATATAGTGACTGTAATTAGTTTTTAAAATATGAAAAAACTACTCAATTTATAAGCAAGACTTAATAGTTATTGGTTCTTCTAAGTACAAACAATCCTGTTTCATCCTGTGGAGAAAGGTGGTAAATTGAGATAGTTGTTCAGGTTAACTCTGAATAGATCTGGTAAAGAAAGTAATAATCCACTCACCTAGGAAAAATGACAATACTATTAGGAGAAAGGCAAGAAGAGCCAGAAAAGCTCCCCTATAAATTAGAAAATCTAGTATTCACTGTGTTTGACAGCCTGGTAATTTTATCCAGAAATAAAAGTTAAGGAATTCACAGCAAACATAACAGAAGCAAGTATAAGTTGTTCATATTGCTTTTCAGGTAGAAGACATAATATACTTATGATTGATAAGTGTAAATCTCAACATTTTGCTCAATGATGGAAAGCATGACAACTACAAATGAAAAAGAAAATATCCTTCTGTACATAGCTACTAAGAAGAGCAAGATTATTTTTATTCCCTTTTCTATACCAATAGGAAAGTGGGATAATATTCACACAGTTGCTATATAGATTGAGGTGAAACTAAGAAGCAAGACAAAAGTTGACATTACAGAAGACTGTGGCCATAACTGCATGCTAAAATGAAGGTTGTTATTATTAATACACTTTTTCTAGGCCCTCAACAGCTCCATTGTATGAGAACTAAATTTCCGGTAGAATTTTAATCAATAATCTCGATACAAAGAAAATTATGTGAGAAATGCTGTTATAGACAACTTCAATTAAGAGTGGATTCTATTTCACAAAAGGACTTCCAAGTTTTAATATTCCTGTATTTCTATTTAAATTATTTGATCATATCTATTCGTTATTTGAATGAAGTTTTGATAGTTTCTTATTTAAATTTTTAAATCACATTTATGAATTGGTCTCAGGAACCTAATCGAGGGGAGGCTAGTCTGGGTCTGTCAATAGCAATAAACACTGTGAGTCCTGCTTAGTGTCAATTTAGGACACTTTAGGAGGGCCGCCTAAGTGGTCTATTCTGTGGTTATTAGGTATAACTATTTGAATGGCAGAAATCAGTGCTGTCAACATTGGGAATAATTACAGTACTCATTCTCTTACAGTTTAATTTATGCAAAAAATTTGACTTAAAAGAGAATTTCCGTTTTCTCTTTTTTCTTAAACTTTGAAATAGAGTTGCTTTTCAAAATGAGTAAATCTGAATAGAATTAAGAGATTGGAAAGGGAATATGAAGATGGTGAGAAAAAAGGAGGTTGAAACTTTAATTTTAATTAAGGTCTTAGCTCTGTAGAAAATCTTAAAACAATGAAATAATGAACTAATTAATCTGAAAAATTGAAAAATTGAGGTATTCTCACTGGTGCTTTAGTTTTAGTTAGTCCTAAATCTTTGGTTCCTTACTCTAGATTTGAGTAAGAAAATAAAATAAGAAAATATTATATTTTATTATAAAATATAATAAATAGAATATCTTCTGAGGTTTATTTTAACTCTGAGCTATAAATACTAGAATGCTTTATCAGTGTGAAAATTTTCTCTTAGAAGTGCAGTATATTGCAGATATTCTTAGATGTACTGATACTTTCAGTTGTTCCAAACATTTACATTCTTAGGTTTTTTTTTTGTGTGTGTGATGCATTGATGACTAATCCTGGCTAAAAAATTTCTAACTGGTCTGGATATAAGTATCTTAGACACATTATAGGTAAAGGTAAGGTAAAGGCCCTCCCATTGATCATCGATTTGCTCGAGCGGGCCCAGTAACTTCTCCATTGGAGACTTTGTTGTTACTGTGTTTGGCATATCGAATACGTCACGGGGAGCTTGCCAGATTCTGCCGTGCGGGCGAGATACTCTCGGTAGCTTGCCGGGCTCTCCGAGAGGGGCAGAGGAATCGAACTCGGGTCGGTCATGTTGGCTGCGTGCAAGGCAAACGCCCTACCGCTGTGTTATCTCTCCAGCCAGACACATTATATTAAAGTTAAATAGAACCCCAGTAAAATAGTCAGACTTGGGAATACCAAAAAAAAAATACTGTAATGGAAATATACCACCTGCCCCCATAAATCCCTAGGAAGAATTGCAGAGATGCTAACCGCTGAGCCATCATGGTCCTAAAACACCCAATTTTTTTTATAAGCTTCTTATTTTTAAATGTATGTGAAACCAAGTTTCTTGATCCCCATAGATGTGCTATAGTAGTGACAACATCCAGGTCAGGGCCTTACTTTGAAACATAGGCCTTTTCTCAATGATTGGTTAAGTTTGAATGGTTGAATTTATAATTTGAGTGAACAGCTGCAGACAGTCCTTGGTCTGTGTTCAGCATCATCTTCAAGACTCAATCTCAAAAGTATAGATACAAATAAATATAAGAAAAGAAGAAAATGAATAATGCAGATGATGGTGTTTTTGCCTGACAAGATGTATTGCCTCAAAGCACATTGCCTAAAACATAAAAATATAATAGAGGCATACTTTTGAAAAACAATTTAAATTTGTAGCTGAAGACAATGGGGATATTGTATTAGTTTGAATGTTTATATTTTAACCAATACAATTGGTAAGATAACTATTGCTTTTTTAAAAAAAATTTTCTCATTTAAATTATGTTAAGTAGTTTTAGGTTTACAGGAAAATGAGTTGAAAAAGTTCAAATATATCTTCTGAGGGGCTAGAGTGATACTACAGCTGGGAGGGCTCTTGCCTTGCACTGACTGACCTGAGTTCAATCCCTGGCACCCCATGTGACCCCCCAGCACCCAGGGGTGATCCCTGAGCCCAGAGACAGGAATAAGTCCTGAAAATTGTCAAGTGTGGCCCCCCAAATAAACCTTTTCACATCTACTTAGCCCTAACTTTATCCATCATCTATTCTTACTCTCTTTTTGTTTTATTTTGTTTTTTGTTTGGGGTTACATCCAATGGTGTGGTAAGCCAAGCACCTCACCTGCTGTACTCTCTTTCCAGACTCCTTACTGTAAACATTGTGTGTTGATGTGGTATATTTGTTACAGTTTATTGACAAATACAGATATGCTATTAACTAAAAGATTTAGTTTACACTAAGGTTTTCTCTTTCTGTCAGGAATTGTGTGATCTTTGATAAATACTGACAAAGTCCCTTTTATAGTCTTATACAGAAAGGTTTCACTGCCTTAAAATATCTTTATTTTCCCTTCAATTTAATGTGATTTGTAGTCTTGAAGGGGAAAATGTGTATATTTAGAAATATAACATAATTGTAATTTCAAAATATAATTAAAAATTTTTTAAAATTTAAAAATATCTAGGCTTTATAGTTTCAAACATGATTAACTCAGTAACTTAATTTCATTCCCAACTATAAAATACAGGAAGCTACAATTGGCACTTACTGGTTTGTAAAATTCCATTTAGCTCAAGCAATACAAAAATCTTTGTGAATCAAATGAAATTTATAAGATGAGTAACCTAACTCAGTTATTTTCCCTAAATCTTGAAATTCTAGATATTTTTAGAGGGCGGGGGAGATATTTTACAGCAACATTTTATAATATTATGTTTTTGTCCTTCTACAAATCATTCCTTTTAATGTTCCATTTCTAGCATGTGTAACCCTAAAAGGAATTTAGTATTATTGCTGCGCTTATTTCACCAATTTGGCAGAGCAATAAATACTTGTTGACTGGTTGACTGTAACTTAAGTGGTTTGAATGTCAAGAGATTGCAAATGATTGACCAGAATGTGGATTCGGAGTCTTGTAGGTAAGAGTTAATTAAGCCAATACGGAAAACATATGGTAATTTTTAATCTGTTCCCTAAACCAGCAACGGTAGATTTAGACACTATTCAATGTTAGCAATTTTTAATTAGAAGATCATACATTTATTTACTTTCTCTCCTGTGATAGAAAATCATTTTGAGTTGGGAAAAAAGTATAAAATATGTGAAGGGCAAAATGGTTTCTTATGTAGATGAGTTTAACTAAGAAATATTTTTTCTTGCATATGTAGACTTCAAATTCAATTTTGCTAATTTTCTTACTTATGCCAGTTTTTCTAGTCAATCTTGTTAACTGTTAGGCCATTAAAACATTTGTCAGATAAAAATCAAAGAACTGGATTGTTAACTGAACTTTTACCAAACTGCTAGAGAGACTGGCATCATTATAACCTGGGTTTAGAGGACTATGGAAAATGAAGGAGTGAAATAACACTATAGAACATTTTAGCTACTAGGGAATATTGTTTTCTTTGAAAGGTTGGCCATTATTAGCATATTTTAAAATTGTGCAATGGAAATTGTTATGCAACTTATGCACTTACCTCAATTCCAAGAAAAATGGTGAAGGGGACTGGAGTAATAGTACAGAGGGTAGAAAATTTGCCTTGTACCAACAGTCCTGTGTTCAATCTCTGGCATCCCATATGGTTCCCCTAGCACTATCAAGAGTAATTCCTGAGTGCAGAAACAGGAGTAAGCCCTGAGCACCACCAGATGTGGCCCAAAAAACTAGGGGAAAAAAATGGTGAATGGATGTACATTTGTAAGTTTTAAGTGAAAAAATTCTAGAAAATTTAATATGAATGCACAAATTCACATACCATACACATATGATAATATATAAATATATAAATGTGTCATGTAAAATGTGTACATGTAAGTTATTTCTAATACAAAAAAATAAAATAATTCAACA